TCCAAAAAAATTAAAATTTTAGTTTATAAGCCAAAAATGTTCTAAATACTATAATTTGTTTAGATTTATTATTAACTTATTTTTTATTTTTTTTTGAGTTTCCTCTCTTTCTATTGCAAAGGCCTCATTTGTTAACTGATTAATTAACCAGTTAAAATTATCTTTGTAAATTTGGCCAGAGTTAAACAATAATTTGCAATCATAAAAAATATTAATTCTAGCTAGAAAATGAATTTTGGCCAAATTTAAATTTATCTATTTTAACCAATTAAAAAAAATCTTTAACTAGTTAATATGTTAACCATTTTAACTAGTTAATTAACTAGTTAAAAATTAACCAGTTCCAACCTCTATTTTTGATTCTTCATTTTGGATAAATTCTTTACAAGCTTCCATTATATTATGATTCTATTCTAACTTATATTTTCGAAATAGTTTCTTAAAAATATCAGAAACTGATCCAGGCATGTTTGTAAAGGGTTCTGATTTGATATCTAGAACACCTGAACAAATCAGATGATCGAATCTAAGGTTCTTTACATTTATTTCCTCAAGTTCTGTTTCTATTCTCTTCCACATAATTTTCTTATAACTAGCACTCTTAATAATGCACCATCTAATATCACGTTTCAAAAATTGTAAATTTATATTTGCATCTTTATACCAGGCTTCTATATCGATTACTAATGCTTTCATTTCTGAGAGTGAATATAGATCTTCAAATGCAGTTGTAATCTAAAATATATTTAAAATTAGTTTTCAAGACTCATTTGATAAAATAATATCATTTTACATCATGAAATCAGATTAGGTTTCCATTTTTATAAAGTCTTAACTGCTAACAAAATATTAGTATATAGCTATATACTAATATATAGTATAAAACTAGTTACTACTGTATGAGAAGTAATAATATTATAACAGATATCAGCCTCTTCGCTAATGATTATATTAAACTAGAAAACCTAAAAAAGCATGTCATTATATCCATATATTCATCATGAAAATAGTTTATCACCTTACCTGTTTAGCTAATTTTCCTTTGATACTAAAACTTTAAAGTTTATTTCTTCGCTCAATATCTTCTGAGGTGACTAATTCTAAGACTCTTTTCAAAATATTCTCAAAATTCTCCATCTCCTTCTTGAGAATACCTGTTCATTCACTTTCCTCTACTCGTATAAACAACGCTGTGAAAATTCTGATGATATTAAGAGACTCACTTGTTAAAAGGAATTCTTTCATATTTTAATAGAATATATTAGTATAAAGCTGACTAGGCAAAGTAAAAAAATAATGTATGGTAGATTTCAATATCTTTTCACCATACTACCATTTTAATATCTTGTATTTTTCAATTATATCCTCTCTAACTCATATTCATGTTAGGGAAAGAAATAGGAGAGGCACTTTACGTTAAAATTTTATATTTAAGAGTAAAATATGCAGAATGTGCATTGTAGATCTTAACATTGTAAAGGTGTTAGAGAGTATACATATACATATTTTTTATTTCGCTTGCTTGATCACCTAATAATAAAGACCTAATAATATTATATAAATATACTCTGGTCAAAATCTAGTAGAAATAGCCTGTAGCAACACAATACTTCAGAAGAAATAAATTCAAATAAATGCTATTCAGATAGATAGAGAAATATTTTAGAAATTGATTTCTTATGTGTGAAAATTAATTAGTTGCACAAGCAGTCATATAGAGTTATAGATAATTTGCAGTATATCATCTATTACATCATATATACTTTAACGAGAATTAAAAATGTGCTAATTTATGCTTTAGCATCTTAACAGCTGTCGCACATGCCTTCATGCATTAGCCTTGAGGTATTTCATATAGCTAGACAATATATTATTTTATTAATACAATATTCAGGATCTGGGTCAAGGACTGATTTAAAAAATTCAGCACATGAACTCACTATTATTATCCAAAACTGAGAAATTTATGGTAAGATTCTTTCTTAGAATATCATATTTTTTTAACGACTATGAATCACATATATGTTGTATTCCTATCAATTTACCACTATATTTCTTATAATCTGAAATTTTGATGAAGTATTCAAAGTCATATTTTTTATTAATACAATAATATTCAGGATTTCGTGGCTATTTTAACATGTCAATCTAATATATATCTCTAATAAGTATATAGCCTTGCTGATATAATAATTTCCCAATAAGTATGTGTAATACTATATCTAATTGTATCCATAATTAGGCTAACTTCTCATATATTCAATTATTTCTTATTGGATAATAACGTCTCTCATACCTATAACAAATATATCCTGATTATCCTGATTCATTTTTTATACCTAAAAACTTTTTCTCATTAGGAGTACCATCATTTCTCACCACCTTTCAAATCCATTTTGCCAACAACTCAGGCCTCTTCTTGTAATTCCTGTAAGCTCGCTAGATAACTGTTGCATAGAAATTTTCAAAGCCATAATTATAGTAGTATTTAGAAATCAAGAATCTCTAAGATCGCTTTATTAATCTTCCTGAAATAATACTTCATTATAGATTAGAAAATCTAATCTAGAATATGCAAATTATGTATAGTACCTTGGCCAATTTTCTTCATATATATGAAGTATTTCATAATTCCACTAGATGATTAGTGACATCATATGCACTTTAATGAGAATTAAAAACGTGTTAATTTATGTCACATACTGTTTTTCTATATATATTAATCTTGAGGCATTTAGCATAGCTGGACAATAGAGAAAGAAAAAATTAATATACTATATTTCTCAGAATCAGTCAAGCCAGTTAGACAAATGTGATTACTGTCTTATTCCTCAATCTCAATACAGTGTCTTTTGGCTATTTTGCATACTAAGATGAGATAAATAATTTACTTGTACTGCTTTTGCATTGTATTTTATTTCTTGCTATAGCTAATCTATCAGATAATTAACATCTCTTATGCTTCAAATAACTTATATAATCATAAAATTAATTTAGCGGAATATTAAAAGATCTATATAATTCATCAATAGAATACCATATATCTAAGTTTACAATGCAACGAATTTCTCTACCAGGCATACTGAGAAACTTCTTTTCTCTAGAAGTGTTATTATTTCTAACCACCTCCTAAATTTGTTTTGCTAATGAAATAGACCTCTTTCTATAATTTCTATAAGCTCTTTGAATAAGTTTAGCACATCCATTCTCAGTTTTAGTTTTAGAATATTCATTATCCTAATAATATTTCATCAAATCCTTGGATTTAATCTCATATCCATATTTGCACTATCTATTAAAATATGTTTTTTTTGGTTTTACATCAGTAATTTTTACCAATTTCTAGTAATCAAAGCAAATAGTCATTACTTTTATGGATTCTAAATCGACAATAAGCATAAGAATTATCTATCTTACCATTTTTAAATCTAATAAACAAGCTGTAACGATAATAAAAACTGAATCTCTGATTGGTTAATAGTTCTTGTAATCAAATTCTAATACTTACTGCTAAGCAACTAGTAACTGGCCTGGTTTAACAACTGATAATATGTCATATTTCCTTTCTATTTCAATAATTTTATTGATGTCAATTCTATAACAGTAATTTACAATATATACATTAACATATTTCATATTATATCTAGGATGATTATTAACGGGTTTAGGTATAACCTTATTAAATTGCTTATCTAAAACAATATTAAACCTATTCTAGACATATTTATTAATGAATTAGTTAGTTTGTAGCTGATTTATAACAGTTTGTAATAACTTTATTATAATAAAATATCAGATTCATTTTTATTCGATTATAAGCATATTAGGATTTATATAGAATCATAAGCTAATTTTATATTTACATGTATATGCATAGTGTCTGGCTAAATCAGTTTATGGTATGATGTATATCATATCACATGTATCACCCTAGATCTCTGCCAGTTTCTTGATAGTTCTAGGAAGCTGGTAAGTTTCTATAAATTACGAGATGATTGATCAATCAGATTTCACCACACTTGATCTATTGACATAATAGCTAAGTCACTGTTATCAGTGTTGTCAATTGGACTAATTGAACAATTAGACTAATTAAATAATTAGACAATTGGATTTAGTCCAATTGCCAAATATTTTATCAACCAATAAAAATATATAAAATAAATCACATAATATATATAAAATACTAATGATACTAATGATTTTATTTATTAATTATTTTCTGTTACAAAACTTTCTAAATAATTGGAAAATTCTAAATTATTGCATAAATTTCAATTTGCTTATATATCATTTACAGAATGTATTATTTAAGAAATATTAGCTACAGTAATATCAAAGTTTTCATTTACATTTATTTTTTTTATTTCTAAATCTTAAACTTTATCTTTAATAAGTTCAATCCAATTTGCTATCATATTTTACCAATCATTAGTTATTTTATTATCTAAAGTTTCATATTCTTCATCATTTTCTATTTCATTATTTGATACATTAAGTGGTAAAATAATAACTTCATCAAATATTTGAATATTATCATCAGTATTTCTGATAGTAGAAAGACTATAAATCATTTTTTTATATTGTTGTGCTTCTTTATCAATTTGTAAAAACTGCTCATCACATTGCATTTGAGCTCTAATTTGAGTTATTCCTAAAACCTTTTCTGCCTATTAAAATATAATTAATTAATTAATTTATTAAATTAAAAAAAAAATAAATAAAAA